GGCTGTCCTTTCATGAAAGACCGATTGTTTGTATTTCAGGATAATCGCTCATCACCATTTGGTCTTAATATCCTACTAGCTAAAACACAGTCGACGGCTGAATATGTACAGCAGGTGGGCTGACTCATGAAATGTCAACGGAAATTCCGAAATGCGTTTTCGTCTCGAAATAATTAATTAAATAGGGTTGTAAAACTAGTCAGCCTGCAACATAATTCTATAATATTTCAGTTACCCCACGATGCCGGCTTTCGAATGAACTTCCTTTCGGCTGCAGGCAAAAACTGCACTCTGTAAAAAATGACCATTTATGTAGCATGCATTTTCCTAATTGATTTTCAATGCCCTTAAATATTTAATTATATTTCATGAAAAACAAGCATAAAAATATTCATTCTTTCACTCATTCGGTAGGAAATGACGTCTTCTTCCAAGTTTATACTAGAAGAAGGGACATAATAAAGTATTAAAAATTTTCTTATTGAGACTTTTTAATACCGTGAAATGGTCGTTCATAAATCTTCATGGATCTGCATTTGCCAATCCGGCTCGTAAAGTTAACAATATGGATCAAATCTACTGCTAAATTTTATGAACCCCATATGGTCTCCCTTTATTACCATAGAGGAATGTGTGGTTTTCTGTACGCGATAAAATATACGGCTTGTAGCTTGGAAACCCTGAATGCAAGTGTAACGGTAGAGCGAGTTCAAAATTATTCCGGAATTGGGAAAGTTTTCGAAAACCAAATTATACCCTTCCTTCGAGTATAAGATCGGTCTGTTCGGGTACTTCGTTGAAGTATAAAGACCATGATATGACAGAAACTAGTGTCTTCTCAATGCATCCCGCAGATAGCGTTAATTGCCCCGTCCGTCTGCCCTGCTGATAAAACTAGTAATGACATCCTTACCGTATTACAGCAGTCCCTGGTGTTTACTTTCTCGTAGGACTCACATATCCAGTTCTCACAAAAAACGGCTGCGTCCAGTTTTGAATCACGTCGTTATTAGACTACTAGAGATGGTAAGAGCATAATGATTGAGCAGGGCATGCTTTCCTTACCAGCCAATCAACCTCCTGTTCACTGGTGTACACGTCAAATTCTGCAAAGCATTTTCATAATTTCCTACGTTCAGATGCATTTGCCTGGCCTCATACGTTAACTATCCACCTTCACTAATTGGCTAATCAGACAGCGTCTCCCAAAGGGGATTGCGTCATTCAGTAGGCTAGATCGCAGCTTCATTCTGCGTTCATTTGATGCGATAATGATAACGACCTGAAGAAGAAGACACCATCGCTGGGACAAGAGCTTTATTTGCCTGACGTTTCGGATTCCTGCTCGAACCGATCACCAGAGACAAAACCAAATGTGGGTGGTTCATGCACAAGGGGCTGCAGAATTCATTGGATGCAATTGCCATGCTACCGCGTACCCATGAATATTCACGGCTCCCCCCTTCATCCGGGATCGTCGCACTCTGTGTGCTAATTGCTCGATGGCCGACATTCGCGTCGTTAATTGCCGCAATTTCATCACGTGCGTTGGATGTTGTTGTGGTGATTGCTCGACCATCTGACGCACCGACCCTTGTGTTGGGAAAAGTGTTCACCTGTGCGCTCCCGGCGTGGCCAATTTCTCCGCCTAAGCGAAGTCTCAGCACCGAGTATCGAAAGGGAAGATCATTACACTTGCCTATGGAGAGGGGGCCAGTAAACCATGATCGTGTCTCATTTTTCAAAACTACTTCCTGGGACTCGTCTCTTCGCTTCTATTGGCAATGATAACGACCGTTGTCTCTACCGAACGAAACCACTAAATACGAGTGAAAAAGCCCGAGGTGTAAACGTCAAAACAGGTCCTTTTTGTATCTCATAGGTAATCAAATGACAAATAAAAAACGCAACCAAATGTCAACGCCAGAGCAAAAGGTGAACCAACAGAGTCCGTATTTGTGGAAGGTGCACCAAGTTATATGCAAACACAAATGTCTATTAATAGGAAAATTGTAGCAATGTGGTGAAGGCGGAAAGTTGGATGGAACCCACTGCGAAGAAGCACGAAGTCTCATCAGATAACCAATTGAAGTTTAGGACAAGAATGATTCTGATAGCAAAATATGGCGACGAAATAATGGGGTAGATATGGTCTGCACGAACTTATCTGCGTAATTCATGACGGTTTCCATATCAGCAACTTATATGTATGTTTACTCATAGTCCTGACCATATGGTAACTGGCGCCACGGAATTATTTGATATTGCAAAGAAATAATCAGCCTATCATTTGACGAGTTTTACGTCGAATTTCATCAAGCTATGTACATCCACTCGTCTCTCTCTCTCTCTCTTGCTTCTCTATCGCATTTGGCGTGGTGACAACGTCTGTTACAATTGCATAGTCACGTGAGGCGTAAACTAGACCGGTCACACTAGCACGAGTGTCAGTTGGCATAATTGTCTGCATGAACCCCGGTCAAACTCTCTAAAGGCCGATGAAAACATGGAAATTGTGATAACTGCGGAGTTTCACACCACGTCTGATATGCAGGGGACTGGAATATGGATTCCGCGGGTTACAGCTGGCCGTGCGCTAAATTCGGTGGCTACATTTATAGTTAGGACTAGAAGGGTTAGAATTTAGGCTAGTGTCAGAGTTAGAACACAGGAATAGACACCCCTTGGAATTAAGCGCATGACTACCTGTGGTACTGGGTGTCGTAATTTTCGTGTCCATATTGGATGCCGAAAGTGTACTTAGACCCTTTGTATGCCGTTTTTTATTACCCGCTGGAGGCAATTATAAGGTGTCAGTTTTGCGGTCTTCATCGGAGCAGCAGGCCGTGGTAACTGCGACATTGAGGTAGCTCGACAAACGGCGATTAGTTGACTCCATTGATCGAAGTGCCGGTATGGGAGACGATGGAAATGCAGGCGCAACATCCATTCGGTACGGCGTTTCGCTCTAAATTATTGGCTACATGTCTTCCATTTCTAGGAGTCCTCACTGACGACTTAGTTTGCTCCCGAGGACAACATAAGTGATCCTTGAAAATTGCCAAAAACACATTGCATACTCGTGATGGAATACCGAGAAGGAGATAAGTGAGACCAGAATGGTCATTTCTGGCTTACTAGCAGCCAACAGCCAGTCATGCACAATCTTATCTTTGTTTAGTCGATATTATCCTACAACGACATTGCAATATGGTCAAGCAATTTGCTGGTCGGATTATATATAACTTTGCCCACCCCTTGCATTCCGATATAATTTCTGTGAACTCCTCCCGCCCGATGCGCCGCGGCTTCCGACTTATATCTTGTCGCACATCGGCTTTTAGAGCTTCTGTATTGCCATTCCTGGCGCGCTATCTTACGTGTGAAGAGAAGGAAAAACAGAAGTTAAGCTTTGAACAGTCGTCATTATAATCGTTCCTTTTGTGTGGAACCTTTTGACTCTGAAATAATCTACTAACTTATTTACTGCCCATAGTAAGTGGGGCCAACTTTTTGCTGAAAAATTTGAATCTATGATTTCGATATAAAGCGATGTCCTCCCTCTCTCTCTATCTCTCATACTTGGCTAATAAAACGTCCCCCCATTGGGGATTGCGTCATTCAATAGGCTTTATCACAGCCTCCGTTGTCTCTACCGAACGAAACCTGGAATTCGAACCCGGGATTTTGGTCATTCAGTCGAACGCCCTACCAATGGTGAAGGGATTTATTGGATGTCGGACGTTTTTGATAGTGAATTGGCCTACCCATCTGCAGGACCCTCGTTGACCGACCGACCGACCGGCCGTGGAGCTGCATCAGATCCGCATTTCACTGTCACTAGCGTCCTACCCCACCCCCACCCCCTCGTTGACCGCGGAGATAATTGGCGGCCTCAAGAGCTTCACACCATTACCAGCTCCTGTTAAGATGGGCATAGTTCAAAGATTCGGTATTCATTCAAACGATTAGGCGAGGAGCCCTTAGGTGGAGTCATACAGCTCACTTCCAGTCGATGAATTCCGCTGTCGGAAGTCGCAGGACACGAATGACTGCTTCTGACAAATTTCAGTCATAAGAGACCGCCCAACAAGCTCCTGGTTTCCGCGATATCGGTTTGGTTAATTTGTATTCCGACACGTTCAACTCAACCGTAATTCGATCTAACAGAAGTACATTTGTGCAACTCAGTCCCTTGTGCATGCTACACTCCGCCCTTTATCTGCGATGCTCAGCGAGTTCCAGGAAACATTTCAGAAGATGAGGTTGATGACAATGATGTGATCGTTGGGACAAGGAGTTTATTCACCTGACGCTTCGGATGCACGCTGGAACCAATCATTACAGACGACTGCTGACACGGTCACCAGTGACTGTCTCTGATGATGGGTTTGAACGAGAATTCGAAAAGTCAAATCAGTAAAATCCTGGTTCCATCGATCACAACATTCACATCATCAGTGTCAGAAACGGCTGCAGGTTGCTCTCTGTCGCATTCATGGCGAACCGGATATACTTAAATGCGGAATTTAGGAGTCCTGATACCACTCCACATTTTTGTACGAGGAGACTGTGTGAATGAGTATACATGTCTCTGAAAGTGAGACCGTCAATTCTCTGAACCCTCACCCCCGTGTATGACACACCTCAGCTCAACCTCTGGAGCTGTTCAAAGAGGTGACTTAATATTTATTAAGTCGGAAAGAAGTGGCGCCTCGAAATAACTTCCAGATTAGGTTCCTATTATCAGGTTGTTTGTGAACAGCAAATGTGAAATTTATTTCCATACTTCCATGCGTTTCACTTCATAAATATGCTACATCATATAAATGAAACAATATATGACAAAATGGAGAGGTAGTCGGTACATTTAGGTTAGCACTGCATCAGTTTATAGACAAAATACGAAAAAAATTGCGCCAGTCTGATAATTCAATGCATGTCTGAGAAGTTAGCAATTCCACTCACATATCCAGAAGGAGAAATCAGTGTAAGCGCGTTTAAGCTCGTCGTACTTTTATGGCTGTAATGCTTGTGGTGATCGCCATGGCCATCGCAAAGGACATTCCAATCACAGCCAACAGAGGGCAATAGGTCGAATCCAATTTGGCGAAGTAATATGCAATTGCAGCCAGAGAGAGGATGCCTCCAAGCCAGGTCAGTCCTAGGGAGACTGGCATGGCCCAGGACCTGGAGGTTATGCAGTCCACAATGACAACTGCGACAGCGACGAGGTTGACCAAGATGGCAGAGACGAGGAGGGCCCCCACAATCTGATAGGGCTCCTTCTCTAACGAATTCAGGCAGGAGTTCAACACGCCACCACATCGCCAGCTTTGCAGCGCCACGGCAAGAATGAGAAAAATGAGGGAGAGAAGGAGGCCAACAGCGAGGTGGCTTTTGGTTTTATCCATGCTTGTCCTGTGCTGTTCCCGTCTGTATGCGCAGTGACCCTGTGGCCTGCAGTGACCGTGCTTCCTGTCCAGGCGCGGGTGGGGGTGCCATTTATGCTGCTACTCGCCTCGTCTAGTTGGCTTGTCCTGATTGGTCACATGCGCAGGACCTTATCGACAGCATCCTCCGATCAATCGGCGGTCAGACTCGCTTGCTTGCTCGCGCGTGCGTGCGTGCGTGCGTGCGTGCGTGCGTGAGTGTAGTTCTGGAGGAGCAGTTGTCTGCTGGGGCGTCAGTGCATCTCCATCTGCGCGCCTTCTTGCGCCTTCCTTCTCTTAAAGCTATTCCGGCCAAATCCGCTCGTACATTCGGCTGCTGTGATTTACTGGAAGACGATTAATCTCGGCAAGTTATGTCACTTCTCCACAGAGTCCGCTGAGGGGAAGCATTCGTGATGCTCACTCACGATGCCTCGGCAATAACCACAGACGAACTGCACGGGGACAAATGTACCAATGTCACAGCCCCCTCCTCCTCCTCCTCAATCGTAAACTGGATGTCCGGGAAGACGGCGTTAAGATGTTCTTTGAATGTCAGCACCTGATCCCCTTCGGTGACGATGAAGGTGTCATCCGCATACTAATGCGCAAATTGCACTTCCAAAAGCGGTTGGCCTCCGAATCCATGTCGTCGACCTCCACCCAGACGTTATCTCAATAGCACAAACATGGTTGTCCGAACAGGTATATGACAGGGAGCTTACGCTGCCTGGATTACAAATGTTCCTCAGAGACAGAAAAAAATAAGAAGGCGGGTGGTGGCATAGCAACATTTACTAAGAATGGCTTGTACGTTTCAGAAAAAACCGCTAAGGTGACTCGTAGTACGGAAGCATTATGACTGAACATAAGGGCATCTGGCTGTCAAAGTCTGCCAGTATATTGCCCCCAATGAAATAACGAAATCGATGAGGTTTGGTGTCAGTTCGAAGAAATAGTCCACAGCCTCATCTCCAACCACTGCCCAATCATGCGCAGAAGACTGACGAATGGAACTCGCTGGTGGACTCCATCCTTAAAGAAAAGAGTGAACGAGAAGAAGAAATTGCGGAAAAGATTCCTATTGACCGAGCACCCCTATCCTTAAACAGTTATAAATTACGGGGAAACGGGGGAGGAGGGGGGGGGGGTGAACATTCTCATCACCGGGGATCGACAAGTCTTCGAAAACGGTCTTTCGAACCGTGCCATGCTTAATCCCAAAGTCCTCTACAGTTGCATAAGGCAGAGTACGTGGAAGAAAGATCCCATCCCATTGCTACGAACGACCGAGGGTGTAGAAATTTCAGATGATATGTATAAGGCTGTCTCAGCACTTCCAGTCCCGAACCCGATTTTTTCCCCATCACTTGTGAAAACGAAAAAGCGCCATCCATTGAATCAGTCTTCTTCACCGAAGCAATCGTTCAGAAAGAGTTGTTTAACCTGATGGAATCGACCTCCGCAGACCCTGATGCAATCCCGGCCAAGCTGTTGAGGGAGCCAGCCCCCCACATGTCCACACCGCTAGCCTTGCTGTTCCAAACGTCATTTGCTACTGGGTGCCTACCCTCCGATTGGATGTCCGCTACCCTCACTCCACCCTTAAGGCTGGAAGTCGTGCGTCTGCGAATAACTACCAACCAGTGAGTCTTACCTCCATCTGCCGCAAAATCATGGAGAAAATCATTAGGAAGTCCTTGATGAAGTTCCTCAAGCTGCATCACATCCTCTCCGATGCCGAAAACGGCTTTCGAAGTGTTAGGTCCTGTCTCACGAATCTGCTCTTTTCACCCAAACGCTCTACTAACGCACGCGACGAAGGCAATTCGGTGCACGCCACATACCCCGACTTCAAATAGGCCTTCATTAGCCTTGCTCACCAACGTCCCTTGCACAAACTGCGCAATGAGGAAATTCGTGGAGGCCAGAGCTTTTTGACTGCACGGTCCCAAAGACTGCAGTTGGGGCGCCAGCAGTCCTCCGAGGTTAGCCTAGTGAGTGGCGTCCCACGGGGTTCAGTCCTAGGCCCCACCTTCTTCCTCCTTTTCATGAATGACTGTGCCAGGCACCTAGACTGTGATGTCGTCCTGTTTGCTGACGACATAAAATTGTGGAAAGTTGTTCGCAATGCGGCAAACTTGAACAGACTCGAGGACTGGCTTATGCCCTTCAGCGTGAACAAGTGCATCTTTTTCAACTCGACAGCCGCAAAGCCTCCAGCCCCAGGACTTTCCTTCCTCACGGTACACCAGCGCAACAAGTTGACGGTCAGAAGGCCATTATTGTGTGTGGATTGCTTCTTCACTCAAACCAACACTGAAGGGCGCGAAGGCGGCTAAGTCGTCCATGGCTACCAGTCGGTGAATGCAACTGTCGGAATTCGCAGGACACGAATCACTGTCTCTGACAAATTTCAATGATAAGATAACGTTTGCCAAGCGCCTGGTTTCCTGGCGAACAGTTTCCAAATGTTGCTGGACGGAATTTTCCCGAGATGTGAGTGGATGATCCGTAAACTTAAACTTGCTCATCATTTTCTGGTGACTGTTAGTGCAGAACCTCAGCGGAGGAACATCAGGTGGGCTTGGGAGCGCCCGTTTATGAGAGACCCTGTCAGTTTACAGTTTCGCCCTCCGAAATGGCGGTGATGGGGGGGGGGGAGGGTGGTGATGGGTGTAGAAAATGAGCTTCCACGATAACACATCGCAGAAAAGAGGGATGAAGTATCTGTCAGACGTTTCAAATAGCAGCATCGCTATCCCAATCTTCAGAGACCGGTGCATCATCTGTGCTGGTCGACCACTACAACGAGTCTGCTGGCCGGTGGGAGGACTGTAGGCCCCACAGTCGACTGCGACCGAGAGTGCGCGTCCTCGCCTTCTTTCAGTGCAAACCCATGCTGCTTTCGGAGTCTCGTGGTCTCGGGAGTCCCTGCCACTTCCTCAATCGTGTCATTCGCTGGGACGAGTTGCTTCTCATTTAGACGCTGGTTCGCGCCTTTTGGATCACAAGTAGTGCTACCTGTGAAGATGTAGTGGCCTCCCGAAAAGTCCTAGGCAGTTGCGGGATGCGACCACCGTGCACGCAAAAAGCTACCGCCTGGAAATTATGCTCCTAGACTGCCTCAGACGCATCGATTCACGTCATGCAAGATCTGCGTGCACTCATGGATGCGTAGGCGTAAAACAAGGCATCACATCCCGGACTGCCTCAGTTCGACGATATTTTGCGTCCTCTAGCAACGGTTATGTGGGGACTTTCCAGACAAGGATCATCAGCAGACGCGCCTTCCTTTACTTCGTCGTGCAGTCGGTTGATTGTTTGAGCTGCGTGTTTGGGAGGATATCGTGGAGTTAGTTCTGAAAATCGTGTGTATAACTTCTGCCCTCACGCTGGCTTTCCTTTGATGAAAGACGGATTGTTTGGATTTTGGGAAGATTGCCCATCAGTATTTCGTCTGGATGTCCAAATAGCGAAAACGGAGTCGACGATCGGATATGTAAGCCTTAGTTCCCATTACTATAACATGTCTGCTCTTTTGATTTATGTTGGAATGTTGTATTAGTTTGCGTTTCTGGCCAAGTTTTAAAAAAATAAATAAAATGTATCGTTAAAATTCCGCTAAAGTCTAGGTATGGGGTGAGGTTTGGTTCGGGGTTGGGTTAAACTTGTATGCCGCATACAATCTTACTCAACTACGCCTTCTTTAAGCAATATCCTTGGATTACCTGTTTGCCACCCGTTTACGCGGCCTTAATGGGCATATTATAGATCGCACAGACTCTTCGGGTACCTGTTTGGAGTAATAAAAATAACATATAGCGGAAATACGGGTTTTCTCAATTCACATATTCAATCCACACAAAAAGGGGTCCGTCCAGTTTTAGATCCCGTCTGTTTTTAGACCAATGCAGATCGTAAGTGCATAGGTTCGAGCAGGACACGCATTCATTGCCTGACAAATAACCTCCTTCGAGTATAAGACCGGAAGAACATAGAACTTTCTACCGACGGAGCAAATGAATGAATATTTTTGCATGTTTTTCATGAAATATAATTGGACTTTTAGGGGCATCGAAAATCAATGAGAAAAGCGCATGCTAATTATGTAGTCCTTTTCCACAGAGAATAGTTTTTGTATGTAGTGTGAAGGAAGTTCTTTCGACAGCTGGCATCCTGTGGTAACTGAAATATTATAGAATTATGTTGCAGGCTGACGAGTTTTACAACCCTACTTAATTAATCTTTCCGAAACGAAAACGCATTTCGGAATCTCGGTTGACATTTCATGAGTTAGCCCACCTACTGTAGGTCTTCGTTTTCGCTACTATAATATGCCTGCTTATTTGATTTATGTAGGCATGCTACATCGGAACAGCGCTTCTGACTAAGCTTGAAAAAATAATAAAATTCGCAGTTAAAATTTGACCGAAGATTAGGGCTGTGGTAAGAGCTGGTTTAGGGTTGTGTTCAACTTGTCTGCCGTAAACCATCTTAATCAATCTCACCTTCTTTAACCAATATCCTTGGATTATCTGTTTTGCGCCCGTTTACGTCTCCCTTATTCGCGTGTTTTAAGTGGCGCGGTCCGTTCGGCTACCTCGTTGGAGTATAAAGACCAACATATATGACGGAAATGAGTGTCTTCTCAATGCCTCCCGCAGATGCCATTAATTGCCCTGTCCGTCTGCCCTACTGATATTAAGATCCTTACCGTATTATAGCAGTCCTGGTGTTTATCTTCTCAGAGGACTCACATATCCAGTTCTCACAAAAAACGGCTGCGTCCAGTTTTAAATCACGTCCGTTATTAGACTAATACAGATAGTAAGTGTATAATGGTTGAGCCGGGCATGCATTCCTTACCAGACAATCGACCTCCTGTTCACTGGTGTGCATTCGTCAAATTCTGAAAAGCATTTTCATAATTTCCTACGCTCGGATGCATTTGCCTGGCCTCATACGTTAAATATCCACCT